CCCCCAGCCAGCCATGCTTGCTAGGGAATTCTGGGAGTTGAAGTCCACTCATCTTAAAGTGGCCAAGTTTGGACAACACTGGTTTAGTGTGTTCTACAAATTCATGCTGGCTGGGGCATGAGGGGCAAAACCCTGAGCTTCTCTCTGCCTCCCCTCCTGTCCTCAGCCATTTTGGACCCTGACTCTTTTTAAACGATGCCCAGGACGCAACAGCTGCCTCAGTTTCCAAGAGTTCTCTGTGGCCTCTATTTGGGAACGCCGGTCAGGAGGAAGATCTGTCCCGGGCAGATTTGGGGTGGTCCATGAAGTGGGGAGGGGGGCGAGAGTAAAGGAGGAACAAAATGCTCTCCCCCAGCCCGCCCAGCCCCCAGCCCCATCATCTTAGTGCTGGAATCTGCTGGAGCAAAGGGGCGGGGTGGACGGACGGTCCCCCAGCCAACCCTCCCCAAACAATAGGCAGATGTTATCCCTATTTCTTCGCCCCTTCGTTATGGGGCTGATAATTACCCCGCAGCTAATGATAGTAATCAGAAAATGCCGCAAGCCGGTCTTCTTCCAAGGCAGTTAATTTATTTAATTACACCCTTTGAAGCTGCATTATTTAAATGGCGATTTATTGCATGGCTAATCAATGCTATTTTCTCCGGGCAAACGCCTGCGCGTGCATTTGTGGGCGGGCGTGTCTGTGTCTGTGCACGGGTGTGTATGTGTGTTGGAATGGAGCTGCCGGCCAGCCCTTTGGAGAGGAATTGGGGCCGGGGGTGTTGAGGGGGGGAGGAAGACTTGAGAAAAGGAATGTCTTCCCTTAACTAAATAATTGCAGGGTCTATGTGAAGGGGGCTGCGGGGGGAAACCCCGCCTGGCCTGGGGAAGATCCTGCATTCACTTCTGTGCGATGAGAGGGGGGAGTCCTACCCTGGGCAGGGGGCTGGACTAGGTGATCTCCAAGGCCCCGAACAACTCTTCCATCCTGTGACTTCTCTCCCTGCACACCTCCAAGTTGCAAAGAAAGTACCTGGTAATGGGTACCTCTGTCTCTGTAAAGCAGTGTTGCTCAACCTTGGCGACTTGAAGATGGGTGGACTTCAACTTCCAGAATTCCCCAGAGCTGGCTGGGGAATTCTGGA